TCTCGCTCTTATTAAATGTAGGCTAAATCGCCCTGAATTAAAATGTAAAAACAGATCAAATAATGTATGTGTCGAAATGTTGCGATATTGTTTCATTTAAGTTCATAATTATTCCATAAATGTTATTTAATTTAGCAGCATACCACGAAGCACCGTGTTTCGATATTTATTTGAATAATACAAAATAAAATTAAAACTTAATTCACAAATTGCATGCCTGGTTGTAAGGATCCAAAGATCCCTGTAGACTTTATTGAGTTGAACATTTTGTTCATGACAACAAATTAACAAGCGTTTTTTTCAGATTATATTTAGTTTTGCTTGGAAAAAGCTGCCCCAAACCAGTTTTATTTCATCAATTATTGAAATAATGAAATATTTAGTAATAAACTTTTATGACAGAAATATCACTAGGCTACATGTAACTTAAATCATTTAATTCCTTCATTATCAACTGTCTAGAATAGCTATTTAAGTGTGAATTGCGACTTCTCTTTGTGTTAAGTCAGCCTCAGACTCCGATAGCCTGTGGGGGGGTTGGAGGGACAGTTGCTGGACAAAGGTGTTAATGTTCCTCTTTCATATGGAGAGTGTCGGATAGCCAGCCCGATGAGCAGGCAAAATTATTGTAAGGATAAAAGAGATCCAGCGCGAGAGAGGCAAAGAAAAACGCATGTTTTTAATTTAATTATGTTTCTTTGGACAATTTTCGTTTTGTACTGTTTTATTTGTTTAATTTAGCTGTAATTTCTTTGGCAATACAAATTTAAAATGTCGCAAGAATAAGATTAGCCTAGTGTTTCTTATTTTGCATCGCAAATGCAAACTGTCCCGACACTTTATTTAAACCTTGAAATGTTCGAACTTGGTTTCAAACTTAAGTCATTTTAGTGTTCTTTTACATTACACAATAATTTAGCAGACTAAAGACGAGCTTCTTCATTTTCATTTTCTGATGCAATCGGCTGACAATCTTCCTTCATCAGTTTTTGTCGTTTGTGCAGCGGCTGCGGTTATACAGGAATGTAGCAAATTTATGTTGTAATGATAATTAAACAAAACTCTTGACTTTAAATAAGTAAACAGATATAAACAGTTACCTATTTAAGCATCAAGGTGGGAAAATACAAACGCTGTAGGACAACATCGGTTAACAACATGTAGGCCTATGCACATTGAGATTCGATCTCGGGTCTATTGAAGCTCCTCGAAGCTCGTGTTGTTGCGTTGATCACTGAGCTATACCGTCTGTACGCTGTTAAAGTTGTAAAGTCTCATTGATGTAGCCTAAATGTTTTTATTGCAATGTTTTATGTTGAAATGTTTTCATTATTTATTCAATTACATTTCAGTAGCCTAATTTCAGTATTGTGATTATGAATTATTTTAACTACGTTTCACTTGTTGAATACATCTGCTACCAGCTTTCAATCGCTCTGAATCAGCGCGGTGCGGCCGCAGATTACGCATTAGAGAGAATAAACCGGAATAAACGAACACTTTTCAGAGTCTATGATTGTAGCGCCTCTTAGCGGTAAAAGGCAGCAAATACACCACACATTTTACCGCCGCGGTGGAACGGCTGATGTGGGCATTGTCATGGCTTGCCTCGACATTTGCGTTTGAATAGCGCGCGTCCTCCGTGGGCGTGTCAGATTAACGCGTAATGAAGTGTAATGAGCTGGGAAAAAAAATACTGACAGCACTCTCTTTTCATACAGATTGCATAAACTGAGAATATTTGTTTTTTATATAAATTACTTCATTTAAAAGAAGAGAATTCAAGCTTCATAAAGAAAAATCTCTCGTGCCTGTGTGACAAGTAATCGCAGAGTTACAGTTAATCTTAGGACGCGTTTCAGAATGGACTTCACTGACAGAGAGAACGCAGAACTCGCATCATGTTTGTTTTTCTTTATTTGGTGAAAAGCACAACACTTTGTTTTTATTGTGAGTATCCACAAAAAAATAGAAACTTAACAGGATCTAATGATGTATCACACTTATATGTAAGATCAAAATCAACCGAGTATTTTGAGTCTCTTTTGCACTGATAAGAAAAAAAACGAGACAATCGCGCCGGCGCGATAGCCGACCCCAGGGGGTTAAACAGGGTATACATTTTTAAATATTGTTGATTACTTACAAAGCACTAAATGGTTTAGCTCCCCAGTACTTGAGCGAGCTATTGATCGTCTATTGCGATCTCAAAATTCCGGCCAGTTGATAATACCTAGAATATCTAAATCGACTGCTGGCGGTAGATCCTTTTCCTATTTAGCACCAAAACTTTGGAACAATCTTCCTAACATTGTCCGGGAAGCAGACACACTCTGTCAGTTCAAAGCTAGACTAAAGACACATCTCTTTGACCTAGCATACACATAACACATTATAGACTTCTATAATTCAATGTTAGGCTGCATAGTTTAGATCAGCCGGAACCGGGAACACTTCCCATAAATCATGATGTACTTGGTACATCATAAGAAGGATGGCGTCTACGCTACGCTGTCTCTCTGTTTCTCTGTTTATCCCAAGGTTTACCGCAGTCCGCCGGATCCAGGCCTTATCCAGATCTGATGAAGAACCATCGCCTGGACATGACGACAACTCAGTCCTGAAGTGTCAACTAGTCTCTCCCCTGTGAAGGCCTCCCTCCCTCTACCTCTGTACAGATAAAACGTTGTCGGGATAATTCCGGTTCGCGTGGCTACACAGACTAGATTCTTATTGAAAAGCCGTAATCTATACGCTGCCTCGGCACACACGAGATTCGAGATCGAGTCACAGAATCTTTACTGCAGACCCGTAATCTACGCGCTGCCTCTGCAAACGCCAAGATCCGAGCCAAAGATCTTTATTGACTCTCTTCCCTCGAGAAGAAGCCAACAGGAGTAGAGCTAAAACTCTTGATAGTGCATATGTTACACGTCAGGAATTTATGAATGAACACTGTCAGCCCCATTTACTAGAGCTGACCGTGCATGCTCCACTCAACACATGAATCACGTGTGTCCCCACTCCTAATGAAGCAAGGGCAGGGACGAATACACGATCCAAAGCTGTTTGCTCATTTCCATACTCGTGTCTAAATATAAAATTTATGCTTGTGGACAAACAACAATAAATAGACAGAGACAGATTCACACAGAGCGCTTGCTGAAGGCACAGAAGCTAGCGCGGTCTGTTTTCAGGTGTGAAACGTATGCCTATGACGTCTCGTCTCTCCATTGGACTGATTATACACGTGCTTCAAAACGCAATCACGCAGGGGAGTTCCCACAGCGTCTCGATGCAGCTCAAGTTCCCTTGAAAGGGAATTGAACCGAGCTGGACAATGACATCACGGTTTTCTCCAGAGCGTCTATATATAATATAAATGAACTAAATTAATAACTTTTTTTACAACAAAAATGAAACATCACTGAACTTACTTAAGCTGGACTGTGACGCTATTTTCTTCTGGAAAAAAAAAAAACTTGTTGCTTTATTTTCCTGTTATCTCTAAATATAAGCTATATAAATAAATGTGACTTGACTATTACAAGGACAGATGCCAAGATGTAAATTGGCTCAAGCAAATTGAATCAAAGACACAAGTCATCTACTGAAGAAAATTCAAGATATATGCATTTCCATTAACTTATATTTGACTTGAATTTACTATCAACCATTGTAAAATGTATTTTATTGCCTTTTTTTTCTTTTTCTTTTTTATTTAATTGTATTAAGAGAAAACTATGACAAAATTTTCCTGGTATTAGTTCAACAATGTGAATTTATCAGGACCAATATCAACTTGGGACAATGGCCATTTGAGTGACTGGCTTTTATTTTACCCAAAACTGAAATATCTATAAAATTTTCTGCCAGGACATTCTCTCATGTTTACCAGGTCACCGTTTATATAAACTCTTTCCCTGCCAGGGTTTTATATTAAAAAAGGGGGGTTGACAGCCTCTGCCAGCATTTTTTATAATTTTCACAAAAAAATATTATGGCCCCCAGAATATTTTGTTGTATGAATGTCTGAACATGTAATTTATCAAAAGAAAGATCAGAGCCTCTGTAAATACATAGTAGTTAAAGACACAATATAAAGTGTGTGTGAGTTTATGGAGATTCCTTTAACACTAAAACACAAAATATGGGTAAAACACAGGTGAATAAATTGATACAGAATATTCCTTCATATTAAAGGGATAGTTCACCCAAAAATGAAAATTAAGTCATTAATTACTCACCCTCATGTTGTTCCAACCCCGTAAGAACTTCGTTCATCTTCGGAACACAAATGAAGATATTTTTGATTAAATTTGAGAGCTGGATCACTGCTGCGTAGGCTTCCTAAGGGAGTGAAACTTGACGGCCCAGAAAGTCATTGAAGAAAATGTTTAAATATTCCATGTGACTACAGTGGCTCAACTATAAGTTTATCAAGCGACGAGAATACGTTTTGTGCGGAAAAACAACAAAACTAACGACTTTATTCGACTATTCCTTTTCTTCCTTGTGGGCCTGAGACGAGAGTTCAAGAGATTTCCACGATGCATGCGCGAGAACTGAGCAAGAAGTAGCTAGTAGAAGAACGTCCTCTTCTCAGAATGTCCTCAAGAGGACGTTCTTCTTCTACTACTTCTTGTTCAGTTCTCGCGCATGCGTCGTGGAAATCTCTTGAACTCTCGTCATCCCGAAGATGAACGAAGGTCTTACGGGGTTGGAACAACATGAGGGTGAGTAATTAATGACTTAATTTTCATTTTTGGGTGAACTATCCCTTTAACAGTAGAATGGGCCCTATATGTACAGACTTTTTTTACAAGCATCATTATATAGCCTTACCTTCTGCATTATCTGTCAAATATATTTTTCGATTTAATGGTGCTTTGATTTGTCATTAAAAGTATCTATCAAAATGGCATTTGTTTTAACCATACAGTATACAATTGTAAGCAAAGAACTGTGGTGTATGCCAGTAGAAGGCGGATGTGCGGTACCTTTGCATAGACACAGCTGTCACTAAGCGTCCAAGAGCTACAGTTGCCTTCACACATGGGGCACATGATGGTGGTGTTGGCCTCACAGATCTCTTTACTGAAATAAAACAGGGAAACAAACACTCATGAATCTGTGCTTTATTGAGAAGAATTTGTAGGGAAACATTGAATACTGGTGAATAAAAATGTGATGTTTTGACATATAGACTGATGGAATCAGGTTCAGGCATACTGGGGGAAATTTTGAAATAGCTGAAAACCCCAGCAAGGACTAACCTTACTTGGCTGGAGTCCATAGTGAAAAGCCCATAGAGGAAGACAAAGAGGCCAACTAGAGCAGCAGGGATCAGCATACCTGTATACCAGCCCAACCAGGCAAAATACAGCCCGATCTTCTCTCCGAAGTACCGCCTATGAGACAGACAGGCCAACAAATGAAGAAATATCAGTAAGAAACATTCATTTAGGCCTCAGTACATTTTCACAACATTTATTAATCTTGATTAACATTAAAATAAAAATATAGTTAGTTCATAATGCATTTGACTGATGTTATTCAGCTCAGCTTGTTCAAAATATGAGTATTGTCACAGGTTGTCTGTGTAATCCAGAGAATGGTGTGTGACGCAGAATAGACAAATATAATATATTTTAATTAACACGAAGAGCAAGACTACAACACACTAACCACAAATGTTAACAAGAGATCACAAACTGAAGGAACAGATGGCTTACATGAGGAACTGCGAACAGGTGAGGACTAGTTAGAGACTAACAAATGAAAGACTAGAACTAAGTCAATGAAAACTAAGACTAAAACCAAACAAGACCGTGAAGACTAAATATGACTGTGACTGTCAGTGTGTTGCTGGGAAGCAGATGACAGTGAAGATAAAGTTCAGAGTCTTTAATAAAAATAAATGCAGATACATCCAAACACAACACACACAGACAATACCGGACAACTGAACACCGAAAACAGAGGAACTTAAGTACTAATGCAAACAAGGTAATTAACGACACTCAGCTGAACTGAATAACTACTCATATCAGTAACCATGGATACAAACTAAGAAAAGCAAATAAATGGATGAATACAAACTAAAAGTCCAAAACACAACAGAGCCATGACAGTGAATTGATATGAATTGCATTGTTTTTTGTTGTTTTTTTATAGTAGATTAAAACGCAAAAAAGCAGATACACAGGTTAGATACATAGATTAATAGGCAGAAAGGTGACTAAAAACAGGGACATGTACTTCACTTAAAATACACCAGGTCAGGGTGGTTACATAATTCCACAAATGGAGGGTGACATTACTCTCAAACTGATGAGAAGATACCAGCATTGAGTTGCTGTGTCTGCTCATCACCATCGCAATTATGTTTCTGTCTCCACTTTAAAAGGAGAGGGCTCTAATCCAGCGTCAATATACGATTGTTATGAACCTGAGATTGCATTTTCTCTCACGTTTGACGACAGCTGTGATTTACACAAGAAAGCTGTGGTCAGCCACACCAACACAGTCCTGCACATATGAATGAGTGAGTTAGTGAGATTAAAGCTGTTTTCACACCGCAAATATTTCCGATCAGGATTTCACTGCCATTCTGAGTCATCAAGAACCTTTCAGATTTTCTTTGAAAAAGCCCCAAACAAACAAACTGGAAGCTGTTGTGAAGAATCAAAAAACTTTGCCAGTATCTTCTGGCTATATTCACAGTGCACTTCAAATCAACTGATTAAAATTCATGTTGTTCAGACATCATAGTAAATATCCGGTGTATCTACATCAGTGCTTGATATGTGCATATGAATGTATATATTCAGTGTCCAAATGTGTCCTTATTCATTTATTTTGCTAAATATATTTTATTTATAATATATTTTATTTATTTATTAATTTATTTATTTATTCAGTAAAAATCAGCATGTGTTTTTCAGACTACAAAAAAAAATAAAAAAATTGGATATGCCAAAAAAATCATTTTGTTTCCCAAATTCCTTAAAAATAAAAAAGTGATCCATTTGTTTAGACAGCATAATAAATGTGTCCAAAAGTGCCGTTCTTACCGTATGAGGTCTAAAGGCTGGTATTTGTACCAGATTCCCCAGCGTGCCCATCTTTCGTACAAAAGGTGTCTGTGGTTTTGAGCCCCATGGGTTTTAATCGGATGTCTGCTTTTGTAACTTCCCTAAAAAGTAAATGGCATAGTTTTCAATATCACCTAAGAAAACTTCAACAGGAAGAAAATAGAGGTAAAAACTACATTGTGACAGGTAATACATTTAACTCATTTTACCTCATGTGGAGGAAACGCTGCCTCATATGTGCTGTTGCCAAGTAACCGATTAATGCCTAAAAAATAGATGGAAACAGAAAAAACTAGCATGAATTTTTTTTTCTTCAATCTTGGCTTCTATTTTGCATCTTAGAGCCCAAAATGAAAGTTCTGATGTCTGACTGTCTGATGATTCTATATTGCAAAAATGCAATTCAAGGATTTGCATAAATAAAATAGTAATGTAAAAAGTCTAGCAACCTTCAAACACACAATGTATAATTTCATATAAAATATTCAGTAGTACCACATTCACCACAAATGAGATGTTTCGACTTCTAAAATGAAACACACATACTAATGCTACGGTGAGGTTGGGAAATTAACTTTTTCACCCTCCAGCCACAGCGACTAGTGAATGCCAGTTCCCTTTTCGAGGGAACTTGCACTGCGTCGAGAATCGACACATTGGATTCAGCCAATTGGATTGGATTGCATTGGATTCAGCGCAACGCGTCTGAAGCCTGTATGGAACAAGTCATATCTCGATTGGATTGGTGTTGCGTCATTACATCACTCGTGACGTCGCATGTGACGGCGATGCGGAAGCTATAAAAGGATGCCGGATCACAACAGCGTCAGCTTTCTGGTCTTCAGCAAGCGTTCTGTGTAAACTGTATTGTCTTATTTGGTGTTGTCTGTCTGAAATTACTCATATTCACAAATATATATATATATATATATATATATATATATATAAAGAATATAGTGAGTAAAGAGAAGCAATATAGGCAGTGTCCCCTTGCCCACGCTATTTGAGCGAGGGTGACACACACTCGCTCTGTGTTGTTTGCAAGGGGGTAATCCATCGACCGGAAGTTGAAGCCGGCCGGGTGCCGCCATGTTGTAGCAGAACTTCACTTGCGTTAGCATTTCCATTGACTCCCATTCATTTTGGCGTCACTTTGACAGCGAATAACTTTACATATGAGGCGTTTAAAGACTCCATTTGTCCATTATTTATTTCTAAAGAAACACAACAACGTATAAAGGGCTCCATTACCTTCTATGTTACATTATGGCCCTGTAGAAACAGATTTAGTAAAAATAGGCTAACGATTGCGTCATAACCACTCGACTCTCTGTCGCGCTGTACAGAAATTACCGTACAGACAGGAGGAGAAGCTCGCAGGCAATCGGGGGGACGTCCCGTCAAGGGAGAAGCCCATAGATAATGAGTCCATAAAAGCAACGGAATACTTACTCCTGCTCACTCACGCCAAATAACTCTTTGCTCAAGTTCCCCGTCTCTGCAAGATTAACGTTGGCAATTTTCACGCACAGCTACTAGAAGATTAACGTCTGTCAGACAGGTTGCTCACGTCATCAAGCTTAGTTTGAGTCGGTTTGAGTCTGCGTGTCAGCAACGGAAGTGCTCAAAAATCGCTAAAAATGGGCTTCAACTGTCTCAACTGAGTTCCAATGAGATGGCTCTGTCCACTTCTTATACTGTCTATGGTTGTTTGTCTGGGAGTGGAGCATGCACAGGCAGCGCTCGAGGGCGCTGTCTGTGCAAACTGTGCTTTGCTGCCTCTCAGAACGCTCCGCTCCCGCCTGGCCCTGTTCGATGAATCAGGCCAGGCTCACGTTCCCCGTGGGTTGGGACCCGCGTCTGCCGAGGCGGAGTGGCGTCTTCACACATGGGGTTTGCAAATGGAGCTGGTGGATGATGTTGAGACGGCTTGGGCCCTTTTTCAGCAATCAGCAGCCAAATCCATCGGTCCTATTCAAGAGGAGAGAAGAGAAGAGACACTTGCTACATATCTTTCACCCGACGCTGCGTCATCCCTGAGAGCTCCGGCGCTCCCCTCCAAGCCCTGTCGTACTATATCGGCCTTGGTGGGGAATGGGGATATTGCAGGCATACCAGGCCAACCTCCTCAAAGAGGTGGACGACAGCGGGGAGGTCGTCCTCGACGATATTACTGAACTTCGTCAAGCAGCTGACTTGTCTCTCCGTGCTACTAAGGAGACGGTCCATGGCAGCATTAGTAGCTATGGAGAGACACCTGTGGCTGAACCTGTCGGGCATTAAGGACAGGGCCTTCCTCCTCAATCCCCCGCTTTCGCCTTCAGGCCTCTTCGGCGACGCAGTCAATACTGTCGTCGAGAGCTTTCAGGAGGTGAAGCAACAGTCAGCTGCATTCAAACAGCTTTTTCCAGGTCTCGTAGGTCTGCTGCCAGGGGACAGTCCCACGAGGCAGCCGCCAACTCCTCACATTTTCAACAGCAGAAGTAGAGTGTTGCCTCTTGTGCCCCCGTACAAAAGGCCTGGGGCCAGAGACGGGCTCTCCCTGTCCACGCTTAAGGTCTACGTATGTGGCGGCCATAGCTGCCTTCCACACGCCTCTAAGGGTGAGCACTATGGGGAGGCACCCACTTATAGTACGTTTCCTTCGTGGAGCTAGGAGGATGAGGCCTGTCGTCCAGACCAGGGTCCCCATGTGGGATGTGGCAGTGGTTCTTGAAGGGCTATCCCTGGCACCCTTTGAAACCTTGGATGAGGTGTCTGAGAAATTTATAACCCTGAAGGTAGCCTTTCTGCTAGCTATTACGTCCATAAAGAGAGTGGGGGACCTGCAGGCTCTATCTGTTGCTCCCTCTTGCCTCAAGTTCACTCCTGGCAGAGTGAAAGCCATTCTCCATCCTAGACTTGGCTATGTTCCTAAGGTGCCTTTAAATGTGGCACGGTCTGTAATCTTGCAGGCATTTCATCCTTCACCGCATGTGTCGGCGGATCAAGCAAAGCTACATCTATTATGCCCGGTTCGAGCTCTGGAGGCCTACATACACAGGTCCTCGGGCTGGAGGAAGTCGGACCAGTTGTTTGTGTGTTTTGGGTCACCTAAGAAGGGTTCCCCCTGCCTCTAAACAAACTATTAGCAGATGTATAGTAGAGGCTATTTCTTCAGTGTACGAGGCGCGCGGTTTGCCTTCGCCTCTCCTGATAATAGCCCACTCAACTAGAGGAGTGGCATCCTCTAAAGCCCTGCTAGCAGGGGTCTCCCTCCAAGAGGTCTGTGATGCCGCCGGCTGGGCCTCCCCACACACCTTCATAAAACATTATAGACTGGATCTGCCCTCTACACAGGGTTCACAAGTTCTCTCGTCTTGAGTGTGCCAGATTGCTTCACACCAGGGCTGATACTAGTCAGTGTGGCGCAGTGAACATTTCGTTCCCCAATGTGTCGATTCTCTACGCCGCACGAGTTCTCTCGAAAGGGATTGTCTCGGGTTACGACTGTAACCCTCATTCCCTGAGATGCTACGTCCCTTGGCCACACTTCCTGCGCTCCTGAGAACGACATGCTTCGACCTATCAGAAGCTGACGCTGTTGTGATCCGGCATCCTTTTATAGCTTCCGCATCGCGTAATGATGCAACACCAATTAAGATTGGACTAGTTCCATACAGGCTTCAGACGAGTCATGGTGATGGCGTTCCCCAATGTGTTGATTCTCAGGGAACGAGGGTTACAGACGTAACCCGAAACGTTTTTTGTGTATTTATGTACTAAATATAAAACTCAGATATATACTGTAGTAAGATGGGGTAAGATGCCCTGTGTGGCAAGATCAACACTTTAGATGAATGGCTATGCTTTTTTTAATCTAGTCATTTTATCTGAATATCAACATTTGAGAGATGTGTTTTGAGGCAAAGTCATCAAATTTTGTGTCTCTGGAAAATAGGGATCGATGTCAGAGTAAAGTTGTTTTTAAGTGAAAAGATTAAATTAGTAAGATAAACCACCCAGAATTGGCAAACAAGGACCTGAGTGGCATGTTGTTACTAGTGTTATTATTAAATTATTATTATTAATTTAATACTTAATTTAATAATTTAAGTCAATTATTAAAAAGTGTCTCTGTCACAAAACCAAGAATAAACCAGATGGAAGTGACAAAACCCTGGCATCAGATGAATCTCTTTTACTGGGATTCTGCTTTGTCTGTCTGTGGGTTATTCAATTGATATATATATATATATATATATATATATATATATATATATATATATATATATATATATATATATATATAGTGGGTAAAATGGCCTCTAATTTAAAATTTTATAGTATGCCAACTAAATTATGGTATGACAACTAACACATATTTCTATTTATTTCCCTTAATAACACATGCATCATCACATCCTGCACCTAGTAAACTTGTACATTAAAAAAAATGTTACAATTTATTCTATGTGGTTGCTAAGATATTTGCTTGGAGTGACTTGTTACATTCTCCAGTGTATGTTTTTGGTTTTTATGTGCTAAGAAATAAAATCACATTGTTTTTCAATAAATTGCATATCTGTATGCATCTGACAGGATTTATTTTGTGATTTTACTACTTGATTAGCTTGACCTGCTGCTAACGTAACATCAATCCTACTTCCTGCTTATAGCAGGAAACTCATTTGCAGACAGATAGCAGCAGAAATGAGATTGGGCTAAGAGAAAAGTAAGCAACAGGAGCACTATCCTGTAAATGGTAGCGGAGCTTGCTTTTCAATATGCTGCTGCAAGTAAGAGCCTGGTAAGCTGTGAGCTTCAGCAACGTGATTAAGCTTACATCAGCTGCAAACGGAAATGGATGGAAAATGGCCCAAAATTGTCACGATAAATTAATTTAGCTTTAGCTTTTTTTATAAGAAATATCCAAAATACTAAGTTGCTACCAAGTGGATACTAATTTAATAATTAAAAAGTAGAAATACCACTGCAGTGTTTCTGTAACAACAATGGCGATAATGGAATCAATATGGATTTTTTTAAATTTTGACTTTAGTCACCAATATGGAATTAAACAATAAAATATTTTTCCCAAGTCCACTATTCACAATAAATACAATTTCCATTATGCAATTACCTTACTAAAAGTTTAAAGTTGATTTGATTTTTACAGTTACACTGCATATGAAAAGCATTTTCTTTATAAATATAAGCAATTCTATAAGTTTTATGTAGTTTGAATGCTTTAAAGGGATACTCCACTTTTTTTGGAAATAGGCT